GTAAAAAACGTTACTGTAGAACATGAGTTGAAACTGAGGAGTGAAAAAGAAGTTGTAATAAGAACCATTAAAATCATCAAGTTTTCTACCACTGCCTTTTTACCTGAGCAAAAGCGGTTTTGGTTATGCTCCACAGCGAGCCGACGCTGTAGGACAGTTTTAACCGGTAAACTCCGGTGAGTTGTCCGTAAAAATCGTGCAATTGCAATTTCACCACCAGACACTGAGCACTCGAACCGGAACCAGAAACAAGAGCACCCTGAAGATGGTAGATGGCAGAGGAAGAGGAAGTGACCGCTGCTCGAAAGCGATCAATCATCAAAACAGCTCCAATAGCGCCAAAAAGTTGAAGAGCTAAAAGAGAAAAAGCCATGGCTGCCTGGAAATCAGTGATACTTCCGCTGAGGAGCATTGCGTGAAGCGACAAACTGCAGGGAACGTTGACGGCAAATGCGAGTGCAAAGAAGGGCGCCACAATGGCACCGTTTGCAAAGAGCATTTGCCGCAATATGAAGCGGTGTCTTCTACAAAAAGTGCTCACATGAGCTAGCAGCCAAAAACCACTGCTACTGATGCCGCCAGAAATAGAGGTGAAACTTCCCAAAACCGTACTCCATCGGCGATTTCTTTGAGCAGCAGTTGTCACCTGGCGAATTAGAGCGTTTATCTCTTGAAGACAAAGCACATCCTGGGTGGTGCTAAAAACGCCCAGGTGAAAGGAGAGTAGAACCATTTGAAAGGTGCAGAAGTTGCAGTAGCCATACAACAGCAGCTGTACAAGAGAGTAAGATAGTTGGTAGGCTGAACAAAGGATGACTAGTTTGTGAACTATAAACTGCATCTGGTAGAGCAGAAAACATGCTGCACACAGGTTAGTTGCTTAGAGTTTAGTTTTATGTGTGATTTGATTAAAAATGATTAAGTCTGCTTACCATAAACAAGCAGTAACACAGTTTCGAGTTTGTCCATTACTGCCGAAACCAGCGCCATTTGAGCTCGAACTTGTTTAGAAACAAATGGACGGTATTGATAAAGTGTAGTGAAGAGAGTGGAGTCATTTTTACATCTTTCCCTACTAAGTTTCCAAAGAAGCTGAAATCTTCGTTTCACATTATGAAATGTGGTTTTCTTAAGAGAACTAGTCCAACTTTTCTGTTTTGGTACTAAAAGAGTGGTACTACTGCTTTCAGATTTACTAAAAAAGGTTTCTTTAAAAGGCTGCCAAATGTAAAAAGATAAAATGGAGTTTGAAAAAGAACCTTTTCTTTCTTTCTTTTCATCCTCTATTTCGAGCATTTTATGAACCACCGTCCACATGGGATAACTTTTTTGTCGGCAAAAAAGTAATCGGTCATAGGCGACGTAAAAAAGCGGCATCGGGCAGAGGCAAAGAGCTATAAAGGTGTTGCCGGCCACCATTCCAATAAGCAGATGGTCAAAATGATCTACTTTTTGTGTTATCAATTTTATCAAAAAGTACTGCTTGAAGCGTTGGTGCAGTGATAGAGCCTGAAGAAAAAGCAAACCCGAGGTGAGAATCATGGCCCAATGAATAAGTTTTTTGTGCCATTTAGAGCTAGAAATACGTGATTTAGAAGTTTTAAGCCGTTTTTGCAAAGCCACCTGAGCTGCAACCGTTTGACGTGTTGTTTGTGGGAGAAAGGTTTGGAGAAGATCTCGATAATATAAAAATTCAAATCTATGTAAAAAACTTTGAAATTGGTTAGAAGAAAAACTCATATTGTTTTATTACTTTGAAATAAAATTTAACAGCATGAGCAGTTTTTGACTGAAGCAATTAACTACAATTTTATGTAAAAATACAAGTTTTGTTTGTTTTATTTAAAAATTAAATTAATGATGTGACAACAAAAGTTTTGGTCGTTCATTTCAAGAAGTTTAGTAAAATTTGAACATTGTGTTTTAATGTTAAAAATGCAACATTTAAAATCGATAAAAAAGGTACCATTGCGCAATTGTCAAATTGGTTTTTTGTTTGCTTTTCACATTAAAAATGCACATTTCTATATACATTAGTTTCAATAAAAATTGTTTTAAACTCAATTACTGCAATCTATTTGGGTAAATTGTCAAACGTTTAACCAATTGAAAACAAATTGCCGGTAAAATTAAAACCTTATCAGAAAAAGGGACTTTAAACTACTGCTGCTGGAGATAGTAATGCTATAGAGCTTGAGAATATTTGCTGCTGATAAATCTAGTAACCAAACAATCTCTCTATTTTTTTATTTAAAATGAGCTGCGTACAAACTGGTGTGCTTAAAATTTTTCTTTATCAAAAATGAGTTTACTAATTAAACTTTTGTTTTTGCTTATAGTAGCAATCAACTTAGGTATTTACAAACATTTTAACTTTTGAAACTAACTTTTTATTACTTTTTTATAGTTACTTCAAATCCAATAAGTTTGGGCAATGTTGACACTACCACTCAGCTCCAACAACAGTTATAATTTGGGATTATACTCCTTTTACAACTCAATTTGTATAAATTCGATTATGAGCAATAAAAACGTTTAGTTTGATTGTGAAAAGTTCTGTTTTACTAATTACGTCATATTGCGTCGAACTAATGACTGCTTTTAACCAGCGTCACATAGCTCACATTGGCCGTTAACATCTCGTCATTTTACACTTACAATCTTCTCGGTCAAAATGACTCCCCCCAAGGGACATGACTCGCTGAAGAAAACAAAGAAAAGCCCAGACTCTCTGAAGAAAAGTATAGCCAAGTCAAACTCTAGCAAAAGCAAGTCAAAGTCTCGCCCCAAATCTAGGTCAAAGTCAAAGTCAAAATCTAAATCCAACTCTAAATCCAAATCCAAATCTTCAAAATTCTCCAAATCCCACTCCAAGTCGCACTCAAAATCTCACTATAAATCGCAATCTCTCTCAAAGTCCCACCATGGCTCCAAGGCAAAGTCTCAGTCCAAGTCAAAATCCAGTTCTGACCACAAAAGTAACTCCAAGAAGCTGGCCAAACCGTCCAGCAGAAAGTCCGTCCAGTCGATTGGCGTGGGCAGTCGCATGAAGTCGCTCTCCTCTCGCAAGTCCACCTACAAGCACTCCGTCGGCCGAGTGGTGCACCCAAAACCGGTGGCGGGCAGTGGCGGCCTGAGCGGCGGTAACAGCAGCGACGGCAACGACCCCTCGATGATGTACTCGCTGATGTACGGCGACCGCATCTACGACACCCTCCAGGTGATCCTCACCTGTCCGGTGCACCAGAAGGTGGCGCTGAGCGGCGTGGGCGACCTGGAGCTGAACGGCCTCTTTCTGCCTTTTCACTCGATCAACCACGGGCAGACGTGGAAGAACGCCGTCGGCCACTTCGTCCAGGGAAAGCTGCTCCGGGAGAATGTGAGCAAGCTGAGCGAGGCGGAGAGGGCCAAATTTCAGTCGGTGGCCTCTGCCTCTGCCTCCTCCTCAGATTCTTCTCTGATACCTTTCACCACTAAACCGGTGCTAGTGGAGGTGTTGCGCACTCAACTGCCCATCTACTTTGATTTTGTCCAGCGAGTAACTTATCGCGTGGAGCTGACTCCGGAAGCCTGCAAGGCAGGTCTGTGCGCAGAGAACGGCGTCATCGGCTGGTACTCCATCGCCGACCTCTCCAAGAGTCTCTCGAAGATGACGCTTTTTGGCCCGGAGCCGATGCTAGTGAACACCGCCTTCAGGGCGCAACTGGAGAACTGCCGCGAGGTGACCATCGCCGGCATCTTCAAGAACCCGCACCTGAAGGAGCTTCAAGACGGCAGGCTGCACGGCAACTGGAAGGATGAGATCCTGCGCGTCTTTGGCGACTTCCTCCAGCAGGTCTCCCCCTCGCAGTACATGATGGCGGAGGTCTTTGCCGACTACCTCAAGCGGGCCCACCTGCACATCACCCAGCACGTGGTGGCGCTCTTTCGCGCCTTTGCCGCCCGCGGCCGGGCGTTCATCAACTTTGAGGAGTTCATCACCGGGCTGCTGATCGTCGGTCGCCTCACCGTTCCCTGCAGCAGTTCGACCACTCCGATTGCCCACTCCCCCGGCACAATGAAGGTGATGGCCGAGTTTGTCTTCCGCTTCTACGCCTCCACCTCCACCGCAGAGCACCTGACCAAAGAGCAGCTGGAGCAGGCGGCTAGAGGCTGTCGGATGACCTCGGCGGACATTGACGCCGGCAGACACAGCACCGGCGGCATGAAAAAAGCCGAATTTACGCGGCTGCTCGCAGAGAAGTACCTGCCAAAGGCGTCCAACCACCCCGCCCATGGCCACCACGATCGGCTGGCCGTCTTTGAGCACGCTACCGCCGACCGGTCGCCGATGGAGCAGCTGCACCTCCGCTTGGCCCACCCCGAGGTGCGTCGTAAGGAGGTGAAGGTGTCCAGCAAGACGGTGGAGGCGAAGTTGAACAGTCGCTTCCTCTGCGAGAACTGCAGCGCCAAGCAATACACTCTGGCGCCGTACATTGCCAGGCTCTCACTGGAGGGCGTCCTCTACGACCCGGTGCCCACCAAGCAGAAGGACGTTCACCTGATGAAGAAGGCCCGGCGGGCAAGGGCCGACTGCTTCTTCCGCGAGGGCTACGTCGGCAACAAGATCATGGACATGATTCGCGCCTACGCCCTCAAGGTGCACATCTACGGGGGCAATATGAAGGCGGGCACCGACCCCAGCTCAGACTGGACGCAGCAGGGCACGCGCGTTGACTTTCTCCAGAACAAGATCAGCAAGCTGTGCGACGAGGCTCGGGTGCTTTTCAGCAATGAGCCGCGCGTCATCAAGGTCGCCTCGCCCTGCTACCTGCTGGGCGACATTCACGGCAACCTCCAGGATCTGCTCGTCTTTGAGCAGGCCATCTGGCGTGACCTGATACTCAATCCGGTCAATTTGCTCTTTCTGGGCGATTACGTTGATGTAAGTGCCCCTGACTGGCTGATTCTGTTTTGAAATCTAACAATTTTTTATCTTTTTATCAGCGCGGTGATTACTCAGTGGAGTGCATGATCTACCTGCTTTGCATGAAGGTCCTTGCTCCTGATCACGTCTTTCTACTGCGCGGAAATCACGAGACGCGGGAGCTTCAGAAGGAATTCACATTTTGCAAGGAGCTTCAGGCTCGGTTCGGTCCCAGCGCCGACTACGCCTTTAAGATGTTCAACGCCGTCTTCGACGTCATGCCACTGGCGGCCATCGTCGACGAGCAGATCTTCTGCTCTCACGGGGGCATTCCCTCCACCTCCACCTCGCTGGAGCAGCTGGCGCTCATTCCGCCGTTGCTGAAGGACCCCAACCTGGTGACCAACGCCTGTGAGCTGCTGTGGAACGACCCGATCACTGACCGGGAGTACAAGGAGCTGCTGGCCAACAAGCCGGAGCTGGCCGTCGTCAACAACGTCCGCCTTCCTGATGGATTTCTCTACAACATCAAGCGCAACTCTGGCTGCCTCTTCAATGAGACCGCCGTGGAGCGCTTTCTCTCCGCCAGTGGCCTCTCGCACATCATCCGAGCCCATGAATGTGTTCCAGGTAACTTTCGGTTTCTGGCCTATTTGTAACTCACTAATCTGAGCTTCCCCCACTTCACTCTTTAGCTGGCTTTAAGTACCACGCCGGCGGACGATGCGTTACCATCTTTAGCTGTTCAAACTTTTGCGATTATCACAATGATGCCGCCGTCTCGTACGTGAACGATTCTCAGATTCGTGTTATACAGGTGGACACTGCTATTGATAATAAATAATGAGCTACTTCTGTTTCTTATTAACTCCTCTAATAAAAAGATTAACGTTCATTTTTCTTGGTACCCGGTTTATAGTCCTGACACCAAAATACACTCTATTTCTTTAATTAATAAATAGTCATAAAAAAGTAAAAAAGCGGTAAAAACTATATACAAAAGTTGTAAAAAATTGATAAAGGTGTCTAGTATGTGACCAGAATCCAGGAAGTGCTGAGGATGAGCGTGAACACTTGCAGTGCAGTTTGCAGCTGGTTGACATTAGATGCACTGCCGCTTTTCGGCTTGGTCAATCTCAGTGACCGAGAGGAGGCCAGTGTGTGTCCGGGCTCCTTGATGACTATTTCATTTTCCCACTCTTTGTTCCCACCCTGCTCTGTCCGACGCCCACTATATCCACCCTGGTAGCCACCATTTTCCGGTGAGCAGTGAGACTCATTTCGGTAGACGCCAATGCAGGCCGCATATCCGACCACATGGGCAATGTACGACTGCTCGTGGGTGCCGCCGAAAAAGTGCGCCATTGGTCCGGTGGCAAAGACGCCTACGTTTTGTCAACAGATATAAATGTCAGTTCTGAGTGGTAATCATCATCAGTCAAACTACTTACCAACATCTTCACCAGCATGCTGAGCAGAGTCATGCGACGTGGCAGCGAGTGGTCGGAACTTGAAGTACTCTGTTTGAAAGAAAAGTGGCAGTTATCAAACATTTGAGCATTTGAAAAACAGTGTACAAACCAGTATTAAAGGTGGCACTGCGCTCCCTCTCCTCGTGGCTCATATGTCCCGGTCCGGTGGCGTACATGAGCGTAGTGTAGGGAATGCCATCGGCATCTTCGCCAACCCATCCATTGATCGGATTGCCTCGATTCGGATAGCCATTGATGGTCAGTCCGTGGGAGTGATCTGCCGTCGCCAGAAAGAGCGTTTCATCGGCGGGCAGCATCTCCCGGGCCCTTCTAATGGCCCTGTCAAACTCCACCGTCTCGTACATGGCCAGATTGGAGTAGCCGTCGTGGTGGGCGTGATCGATGCGACCGCCTTCGACCAGCAGGACGAAACCCCTGTTGCCAGGCTGGTTGCGCAGAATGCGAATCGCCGCCTCGGTCATCTCCGTGAGACTGGGCTCACCATTGGGACTCTTGTCCCGCAGCTGGTCGTACTCCATGTGCGAGTGGTTGAACAGTCCCAGCAGACTGCGCGTTCGCGTGTAGTCGATTGCCTTCAGTGACGAGGTGCTGTTCACATAGGCAAACTCATCGGGTGCCAGCACGGCAGACTTTGATTTGATCCATTCCTGAATTAGATTTCGCCCATCCACCCGATTTCCCTCCACTGGAACGAGCTTACCGTGGACCTGTGAGAAGTTTTGTGTGTGAAAGATTGAGTGAAATAGAAAACCCTAATCATTGCGTATTTTTTTGTCTCACCACCGTTCCCTTTGGATCAAACTGTCCTTTGGGTATAAACTCCCGTCTTCCGCCGCCGAGAATCACCGACAGCCGGTTGCCGGGGTACTCCTCCACCAGCTGCTTGGCAATGTCCTTGCAGCCGGGCTGATTGGCCAGCTCCTCCGGCGCCGAGCCCTCCCAGTCTCGATCGGGCACATGGGCGTAACTGGCGGCCGGTGTGGCGTGGGTGATGCGAGTGGTGGTCACTACGCCGGCCGACTTGCCCGCGTCCAGTGCCCACTGCAGAATGGAGGACACGGAGGAGGAGTTGATGAGGTGACAGTCCATCGTCTGCTGGTTCACCTTCGATGAGACGCCAATAGTTCCATAGTTGGCCTTCACCCCGGTCAGGTAGGCGGTGGCAGTGCCTGCCGAGTCGGGCACCTGCTTGTCGAGGTTGTACGTCTAAAGCAACCAAAGAAAGAAAGAAGCTTATTTGATGATAACTTTTCAGCCTGTCGCAAACCTTAATGAAGGCCGAGTAAGGAAAGCGGTCAAACTCGAGGTAGCCTTCCTCGCCTCGGTGCCCAGCCAACTGTCCCTTGAAGATGCGAGATGCAGTGATTGTGGAGATGCCCATTCCGTCGCCTAAAAAGAAAACTACATTCTTCGCCTTCTTGTGCAATGGTCGGAGAATGTCGAGGCGCTCTCGAAGGTCTGCCGCAGCCATGCCATACCAGTACTCGGGATCGCTCTCACCAAATTGAGTGTAGCCTAAAGAGAATAAAAATGATTGGCAAATTATGAAACTCACACAATTCGATCATCTTACCAAATGGTTTTTTAGCTGCTGACAGTTTCTCTTTGGACACCGTCTCCTTGCTGGACAACTGTGAAGCACTTTTACTAGAGTCTTTTTTAGGCAGTGCTGAAGCGAGAAGAACGTCAAGACAGATGGCCACAATTACTAGCAGGCCGAGTGTTGGGCGCTTCATGGTTGCAACCGTTTGGTTAACTGTTGGGCAGCTCAATTAACAAACTAAATGAACAGAGGAAATTGATCAATAAAATAGCATTATAAATTGACGGAGGTAGTCATAAAATGATCATCGACTACTGTTCAACTGAAGCGGCATTATTTTGCTAGTCAAAATCAACATATGTCGCCGCCGCTGCCAATCACCTCATATCCTCTTTTTCAACGCCGCTGATAAGTCGTTTTACATGGTCGAAAAATACATCGAAGGGTTCTAACTCTGCTCAGTGAACTACTCACCAGTAGTAAGTAAGAGAGAGATAAGGCAAAGGCAATGTCTGTAGTGGAGGAGTGAACGCGCCCAAGTTGGTCTGCCGAAGAGTGATAAAGTGGCCGGTGATAGTGAAAAAATGTGCTGCCGAGGTTTTTCAGGGTCAGTAGAGAAAAACTGGTTGCGGGAGATAAAAACAGTGCTGAAGGGAAAATCTGGGAGAAAGAGAGTGTGTAGGCCTTTATTTAGGGTCGCATGTGATGCGTGAAATGAAAACGAAAATTCAGTTTTACTTTTGCTCACTACTGGTGATATCTAGTTAGTTATTGAAAAGCAAAAAAGTCGGAACTGGAGTCATATATCATTCAAGTTCGTGTTCGTGTGGGTAAAACAAAAATACTGAAAAGTTCAGTGATTTACCAACCAAAAAATAAATCAGTGAGCAAACAGCACACTTGTTGGCAGAGAGTAATCAACGAGAGTGTCAACCACGCAGATGAAAAAGCAGGAGTGTGACAGTTTCAATCACACGCGATTGGAATGGTTGACAAAAGATGAGAAAAATCCTCAGTGTTGATGCACCTGCTGTGGGGAGATTCGGAAATGACAAAAAGTAAAGTAAATACAGTCACACAAAGGCGCGCAGAGGAAGGGGAAAGTAGTTGTAGAGGAATAGAAAAGTGAAAGTACCTGTTTGTTGCAAGTGATCTATGAAGACAACTGGTGGTGAACTGGCCTACTGTGTATTTTATACCATTTGGAAATGAATGTCGCTTCGTGAATGAATCGCCTCAAAAAAGTCAAGCAGAGCCAAGCTTTCTCTTTTCGTCCGTCCGCTTACGTGATAATGAGCTAATCATTGTGTGATGGTTTTTATTTGAGGTGGCAGCTAAAAAAGCTGCAGTGGTTCTAACTCCACTGGACAACTGTCAGCTGCAGTGCTTCAACTGTACTGTACGATGTATGACATTGGTGGCTTTCTGCAGTACAGCACACACACTACAGCTGAACTTGATTACTACTGTCTTCTGTTTTGCTTTGCTATATTTATACAGCTGTTCTAAGGTGGTGGTGGTGATAGTGGTGGTGCTCTTGATGGTGATGGTCACTCACTCAAAGGTTATATATGGTGACTGAAGAGCACATTCGCTCGAGGTGACGTACAGAATTGAAGAGAAGGAACGATCCAGAGACCGGGTAGTGACACTGTTCTGTACAGCAGTTGTACAGTAGTGACAGCAGCTTCGCTTCATTGGAGAAATCATGACAATCGCGGAACCGAAACAAACGCGCCAAATTGCCGTCTTTTTTACTGTCGCCTACTACTGCTCAAGGTGGTCCTCTCTTTGACGCCAACAAAAACGAGTGGGCATACCGGCGATGGTGGCGGCGGCGGCAGTCACTGACTTTCACTATAAATAAAGAGACAAAGCAAGCAGACACAAAGTTCAACCTCGTGGCAATGGCATTGATTTGAGGTTGTTGTGGGTGAGAGAAAGACTGTCAGTGAGAGACACTAAGAGGGAAAGAGAGAAATGAAAAAAAAATCATTCACTTCCGATATCAAATGCAGAATTTTTCGATTCAGTTCAACTCGGTAATGGCTGACTTTAGTTTATATCATATTACACGTCGGTGGATTAGAGGCATTATCTAAAGGAAATTGGTGTGCGAGTGTGCTTAAAATGGTTTGTTCAAGGAGAATTTTATCCAGGAAGTGCTCTCTGCCACTGGTGATTTTCATTCTATGAATGTACTTCTAAGAGGATCGTTAATTTAGCAAAACACAAAAGAAATATTTTCTGTTAATTAAAACCTTCAAGTCAATGACGTAAAGTGATGTGCGTTTTCATTACCCAAGTTTTGTAATCGAGATGAGCGTGGGCATTTAAGGATAAATGTTTTGTTTCATAAAATGCAATTCAAGGTTCTACCGCGTTTTTGTTACGCAATTAAGGAAGAGGATGCAAATTAAAATGTAGTGTATTTTCATTCAGGCAAATGTTGAGCACAACAATTTTAAAAAATTTTAGTGTCATTGAACTTACAAAATTGAAATTTTAAATCTGTTTGACAAAAAAACTATTACGCAAAAAAATAAAAATGAAAAATTTGAAGTAGCAAAAATGAAGCAATGTGATAAAGTAAAAATTAAATTAGACTTTTTCAAAAGGTTCAATTACCTTTTCAGTCGAATAGAATCGATGCGTATAAAAGTAAAAAAATTGTCTTGGCATCAACTGAGAAAAATTAAACTGTCGTCTGTTAGCAAATAAAAAGGGACCAGCACCCAAACGCATGCGTTTTCTAGAATAAAAAAGAAACAGTACTAATTTGGATGGGTCGGACAAAGAGAGAAGGGCCATCATTCTCTTCTGCATTTCATTCAGAGTTTGATGACACCAGCAGCAGCTTTAGCAGCAGTAGAGCTGGCACAATTGACTACCCTGACAATAGGAAGCAGTGGAGTGAATTCAATGGACGGAAAAAATGAGTAAAGGCAAAACTTTTTTATATAATTATTTCCTTTTATTCTTTTCTCCCCTCATCTTCATCTTTGATCGCCAGTGTTCAAAGCATCACGTGCATTCAGTGGGTAGGAAGAAAAACCCGCAGAGAGAGGGGAAGATAGAAGACAGTGTTCCAAACACATCTTTTAGTCAATCGATATACTGTCCGACATGAGGGTCTGCACTGGACAAGAAAACCAGAAACAACGTCATTTATCCGTTTAAAAATCAATCTATTAGTTTCTGCGGAAAAAACAAATGCGGGCTATTTACCTTTGCCTGAATGTAAACAAACTAAATAAAATGTAATTGAAAAAAAGATTAGTTTAAAACGCGCAAGAANGAGAGAGAGAGAAAGAGGTTCGCTGTCCCATTCGCAACAAGCATGACCACCAGGACATCATGTTGTTGTTTTGTATTCGTCTCAGCTTGTCACACTTTGCTAGTTTCCGAAAGATTTCTTGC